AATTGTCTTTACACGTAATTGGGGAAAAATAAAATACTAAATAAAACAATTCAAATCACTCCCTTAATCAAATGCAGAAATTGTGAGCTTCTTGGTTGGTTAGACTATAAGCTTCTCAAGGGCAGGGACAGCTTCATTTTGGTCTATCCATAGCATCTAGTACAGTACCTGGAACTTAACAGGCACTTAATAATGCTTATTAATTGGCTGAAATGCTAGTGTGGCTCCCAACTACCCCCTCTGTGTCGAGCCTTCCCCGAGTACTTCAGAGCATGTCAATTTTCCTTAACATACACAAGTAGCATCTCCTTTTTATTTAGCCTTTGGCCTAGTATGGTGATGTGATGCAGCCTTCATTGTTATAATCTTCTCCAGCTCACAAAAGGCTTTCACACAGTTAGATTCCTATTACTACTTCATTGTGCTTTTTCCCCCTCGTTGGCCCTTGTGGTGGTTTCCTCAGGAAACTGTTACCTCTCTTCCAGAGAATCCAGGAAACTGAGAGTTGGAAGAAGCCTAAATGGTCACTGAGTTCCTACTCTGACCTGAGTGGGATTGATATTATCCCCCATACCCAACGAGTGGTCATCCAGCCTCTGATTAAAGATCTTCAATGATGGGTGAGCCCACCTGTTCCCAAGGTAGTACGATGCTTTCAACAAATGTTTACCCAGTGCGTACTATGAGCTAGGTCCTGTCTCCAAAAGCTTAGTGTTGAGATTCCTTTAGCTTTTTGCATTCACTGGACTGTTTATGGAGTTTGCTGTTATCTCCACCTACCTACAGAAACTGGCCTGGCCTCCACTGAAGCCACAACTACTCACTGCTGCCATTTCTTTTGGACAAACCATAGCAATACCACTGTCTCCTTGCAACTGGAGACATGGCAATGAGAAGGAAGCTTTCTCCTATTTTGCTGATCCTGACAAGATAATTATTAGATTTCAACCACCCTGATGAAATGGTCCATAAAAGACTGGCTGGTCATTTTTACAATATCTTTATAATAGTTTCATGACTTATAAATACTCAACTACAGCACATTATGTGCACTAAACACAAACATAAAAACATCATACAGCACATTTAAATACTCCAGCATAACTCATGATTCAATAGATCAATTGAACTCAATAGCCATACTGGCCAACATGTGCCAACTGCTTAATAAACTATTGTGAGAACAGGGCTGGCAGCCGAAGAAGCTGGCTGGGTTTTACTCAGGCTACAGAGTGAGAAGTCTTCACTAGGGCAGTGGTCAAAGGAGTAGATACTTAAACCTGCTAACCAAAGAGAAACATCTGACACAAGGTCCCCACCAACTAGTCTACGATACTTTGAGGAAGCTGTATCCTATTTCATGCTTGAGCTCTTGTTCAGACAGGCTCACCCCAAAGAGCATACGATATGACAAGAGATGAAATGACATGATATGATACAATACATACACATAACAAGGTAGCATTCCATCTCACTGCATACTTGTTCTCTTGTTCAGATAGGCTCACATATAATATAATATAATATAATATAATATAATATAATATAATATAAT